TTACTACACCCGGTTTAGACATCAGACGAAGCCACTTCAGGGTGTCTTTAGGATTCAGAAGCCTCTTTGGATACCCGAGAACAAAACTCAAAATAAAACTTCGGGGGTCGCAAAGAGCTGAGCGATTCCCAAATGGATCGCCCCCCTCCCTCAAGTGGCGGTTGGCACCGTTCAGACGATAGGAAAGCCATCAAATCAGGAGCCGCCCGAAGCGTCGAGAGAGACCCAGGTCGAGGCAAGGCTTATCGTCATGGAAACGCGAGCCAGACCAACTTGGCAAACAAACCAGAGTTAAACCAAGCTTAGCCTGTGAAACGAAAAGCGGCTGGCCCCGGCTTTAAATGGACCGGCTTAAACCGACAGGGCGACTTTGCCACGTGCTGGGAAAGAAATCTCTTGGGGGGCGTGGGGGGGGGGAAAGAGAAATTTATTTTCCTTCTTAAGTACATTTGCGATCAGCTTTCGTTTTCCAAACTGGAACCTTGGCACCTGGGGGAAGGGGGCATCAGCCCTAAAAAAAAAAACCAAAAACCTTTTGACCTATTTGTATTATTTCAGGATAAGGATGCTAAAGAAGATATATTTCGAGAGAAGCGCTTGGCCGTTTTTCTATTTTGTTCTTGTGTGTGCGTGAGATAGGGAGATGGAGATGGAGAGGGAGGGAGAGAGAGAGAAAGAGAGAGGAAAGAGAAAGGGAAAGAGAGAGAGAGAAAGAGATGGAGGTAGAGAGAGGAGAGAGAGAGAGAGAGAGAGACTGGGAGAGAGAAAAAGAAAGATTGAGAGAAAGAAATGAGGGAGAGAGAAAGAGAGAGAGAAAAAAGAGAAAGGGAGAGAAAGAAATGAGAGGGAGAGAAAGAAGGGGGGAAAGAGAGGAGAAAGTGAGCTACGGGGGTGGCAAATAATATCCTTTGGGATTTGAAACTCTGCAACAGTCCTTGCCTTGTTCTGCAGGCAGAAGAGATCAGCGATGGTGGAAACTGATCCTAGATGACCTTCGTTTCCTGCTCTTTTTTGGAATGAAGACACATACACACATATGAAAAGAAATAGAAAATCAAGATCCTTCCTTCAAAGTCACAACACCAGAAAGATAAACTGGGTCAGATCTGGCTAGTAGCTGGGTAAGAGACGCTAGAAAAATCCTAGAGCTGCGATCTAGAAGTGGAAAAGGCTTTAAAAAAAAAAAAATCTCAGAAGGAACCAGTTGCCCTCTGCTTCCTTGAGAAAGCTAGAGGAACTCAGGAGGAGCCCAGTACAGTTTGAAGAAGAATATGGACCTTTTTAATTTTGACTCAAGTGAAGGTGGTTTTGCCAAATCCGTAGGCTTTCCCAAAGCTTCATTCACACAACCCAGATCTTATTGACTCCGCCCCAATGGTCAGGTGTGGACTTCATAGAGATGCCCCCATGGGGATCCCCATAGTCTTGGTAGAGTTTGCACCACCCACCGCCACCAGAAATGAGATAAGCGCATTTCAGCCTTGAGTGCAAATTCAGCCTCTGTACACCGTTCCAATTCTGAATTTCATCCCTCCGTGCTACCGTTTCAGGGTGCCATTTCTACTTCCCTATGCGCGGCGTTCTTGCTCCGTGTTTTTACACCGCTAAGGGTAAAGTGTGAAGGATGTGTGTGCGCGCGTGCTGCATTTCCAAACTTCGATTACCATCCCGGTTCGGTTTTTTTTTCCTTTGGACACGTGTAAAACACGACTCGTTTCTTCGCGCGCAATCGGCCAGGCGGCCTCAGCTCCAGTCTTCTTAACCGCTGGAAGTCAATCCCGCTAACCAGATTCGCCGCGAACTCTCCCGACAACTGGGAGCTGCTGAAAGGAAACAAAAGGGAACGAACAGCCAACGTTAGGTTAGCCGAGTTTGGCAGCCTCCTCTGGGCTTGCTGTTAATCGTGGCACGGGGTTTTTCCGGTGCCCTTAGAACGCGCGCCTCCTTGTCTTTTGGAGAGCCGTGCGCCCTGGGCGCTCAGAATTTTCTTCTCCTTTGCTCAGATCCTATCTAAAATCAACATTTTTTTTCCTCTGCGCCAGAATTGAGGATTCCCGACAGGATGGGATCCGGTTCAGGTTTTTAATTTGTGGAAGCTTTAGCTTCTCGTTCAACCGCCTTCCTTCTCTCTCTCTTTTGTTGGTTGGTTATGTGCCATCAAATCAGCGTAGACTCTTAGCCGCTGTTATGGATAGATTTTTCTCTGCGATGATCTGTCCCTAACCGGATCCTTTCAGTCTCCCAAGGTGCAGCTTTGTTGCTGGTTGTCCTCTTCTTTCTCCTTCCACCTTTCCCAGCATCAAACACTTCTCCAGAGAGTGAGTGCTCCCGTAATATGTCCGAAAAAGAAGGATGAATTTGAACCTTGAGTAAGAACTTGGAATTGTTTCATTATCCATACCCATTATCCATTGGGTATGAATAACCATATTCTTGGTTCTTCCAGAATACTGTCTTTTTCAACATCAATATTCAAAAGTTTCAATGCTCTTATTCTTCTCCTCCTCCTGCTTCTTCTTTTTCAAGCTTCTGGAGAGCATAATTTCTAAATATTTCGGCCTGTGAGAACCTCTTGACAAAATAAGACATACTTCTCGTTGCTGGGAAGGGTTGCTGCTGGGAAGCACTTAAGATTTTTGACACTGCTCAACTCCAACAAAGTCTTTTTTTAGAATTTTAGGGACCTGTTGGCGGACATCTCAAATCCATTCACTGGAAAAAATGTATTTGAATGTATATTCCCACTAGCCAAAAATTCTTCTCTCTAGCCAAGTCTAATTTCTGACATCAGTGTTCCAAAGTTTTGTTGAAGTTGGGTTCTTACACTGCGGAATAATAAAATCTTATCCTTGAACTATTTTCTTTCTTGAAAAGCTGTTGTCAAAATCCAAGAGGGAAAAATGTCCGGATTTTAAACGTGAATCTCAAACTCTACAGCTACGACCTGATCCCAGAGCAATAACTGAGCCGCTGGGGAAGACGACTATTGATCCGAAGCACTAAAAAGTAGATTAAATAAAGATTCCATCACCTCTCCATTTTTGCATTGCTCCCTTTTGTTTTAGGATTATTTGTTGTTGTTGTTAATCTTAATGTTTTAATTTTCAATGCCCAGCGTTTTTGGAATGTTTCTTTAACCTTCTAACTCTTTATATTGTTACTTATGTTTGACAGTAAGGTGGGTGACATATAAAAGTCATAAATAAATAAAGAAGAGTAGCCATGGTAAATGTGGAGCAAGGAATCAGGCCGGGAATCCAGGAGAGATAAGTCGTCCTCAGGCAACTTCCTTTGGGAGTTTAAGCAAGGTTTACTTTTGAGTAGGCAGTGAAAGAAACTGATGATCAGCTCCAGGCCTACCACAGATAAGGATCAAAGCCCTGAAAAGTTACAAGGCATCCCGAAGATCAAGGCACCTGTTCAGCCGGTTTAAGTGGCTCCAAAAATAACATGATTATCCCACAAATTTCCAGCTACCTGGAGCAATTTACAGGGAGTTTTCTCAGTGCAAGATTTGGGCCTCCCCTAATGTCTGACTCTGCCTCTCCTCACCTGGTCCTTTCCCTCCTAACTATTTAAGGTAACTTTAAAGCAGGGGGGAAAACATCACATTTGCTTGTACTTGTTATAAGGAAGTTCAGAATTATTTCTCCTCCTCCTCCAGCAAATAAAAGGGATTCCCAATTCCAGTTTACACACACTGAACAGCCTGATGCAATGTTCCTTCTTTCTCTTTTTGTGTTTATTATCTATCTCCTCCTTCTCCTCTTCAAATTCTTCTATGTTGGGAATAAACCCCATGAAATTTCTTTCATTGCGGTCGTAGGCCAGCGTGCCACCCATCACATTATGGTTTAACAGATCGGGTGACTCCACTCCAAAATTGAGTGCTTGGAGATGGACAATTATGTTTGGCTGGTTGGGTGGTTGTCTATTGGTCCCTGGCTAAGATTTGAAGAGCCTTGGTGGCATAGCAGACTAAAGTGCTGTTAAGTAGCACCAGCTGCCTGCAATTACTGCAAGTTCGAATCTCACCAGGGTCAAGGTTGACTCAGCCTTCCATCCTTTCAAGGTAGGTAAAATGAGGACCCGGATTGTGGGGGCAATAAGCTGACTTTGTATAAAAAAGAACACCACTTGGGGGGGGGGGCGAAAGCCCTACTAAGCAGGTATATACAAAAGTATGAAGGCTATTGCTTAACACATTGTAAGCCACCCTGAGTCTCTGGAAAAAAGCGGCATATAAATCGAACCAAATAAATAAATAAATAAATAAATAAATAAATAAATAAATAAATAAAAACTGCTTACAGAGGGCTGTAAAAGCACTATGAAGTGGTATATAAGTCTCAGTGCTATTGCTAATGAACAGCTTAGTCGAACGGCTTCCCTCCAGAAGTTGTGGATGCTCCATCACCGGAGGTTTTCAAGAAGAGATTGGACAACCAATTTACCAGGATGGTGCAGTGTAAGATCTCCTGCCAAAGCAGGGGGTTATCAGTGTGTATGAGAGTTCATGACTGGGAAGACATAGCAACTAGGTCAGCCAATGAGGGCTGTTTGGAAACTGAAACAGTGTGGAGCCTGGGCGTGATTTAGCTCTGTAACTCTGAGTCTGTGCAAAAGGAACTGAAACTAGTCTGTCTGTTGAACTGAAACGGAAAACTTCTCTCCTCTGCCTGTGTTTTGCCTGTAACTACTACCACGTTGGAAAAAAATCTGCTTTTGGTATTGTATATATGTCTCATGTGTTATTATGTATATAAAGAGAAGTTAATGAATCCTGCTGCATCAGTTACCTGTGTGTGCTTTCTGGATTTGATTGCTGCAACAAACTCTGACAGGGGTTGGTCTAGAAGACCTCTGGGGTCTTTCAGCCCTATTATTCTATGTTCTACATACAAGGAGACTTGGGGAGGGGGTTCATGTTTTACTCCCCAAAATTTGTTTTTAATCACCCAGATACTAATAGATTTTGACCTCCTTCTCGTTTTCTGCAGCTACAGCGAAGGCGCCCGAGAACGGAAACTCTGCCTCTTTCTTGCCTGGATGATACCAACTAGATGGAAAGGTGAACTAACACCTTTAGAGACTGTCTCTTTCCACCTGCTTCAGATAATGGAGAGGAGGAAAGAGCAGCCTGGCTAGTCTGCCACGAAGAAGCACCACGGTTTGAAATGACCACCGAAAAAGATAAGCAAGGAAGGGAAAATGCTGAGCTTTTGGCTAGATGAAAGAACTCCATTTCTCAAGGGGTTTTTGTATTTGGAATAGCAGGTTGCATAGGCCCTTACGTTCATCGCCAGAAATGTGGTACAGTATTTTGGAGATAGGTTACTCTTAGGTGTGTTTCACGTGAATTTATAAAAAATGGAATTATATGATGTGTGAAGGAGTCCCTGCGGATTTTATTCCGCTAGCCGTTGCCAGATATAGGGGGTGGTGCTAATCTCTGTTTCAAGGCCACTGAGTCACGGTCATGTGGCCAGCATGACATCAAAACGCTGTTATCGTCCCACCAGAGTGGCACCTATTTATCTACTCGCATTGGCATGCTTTCGAATGTCTAAGCTGGCAGGAGCTGGGGCGAGGACGGGAGCTCACCCCGTCGCGTGGAGCTCGGATCTCGAACCTGGGCTGCCGGCTTTCCAGCCAACAAGCTCAGGGTTTTAACTTCTGAGCCCGTGTGCCGGCTTACGCTATGTCTCTAATAACTATTAATAAGTCTCACCTTGTCTGTGAGTATCAGCTCCTCTTTGTCTCTCGCTAAGAAGACCATCCTTCTTAGCATTTTCACACTTCCAAAGTGGTATGGAATTCAGCCTGCCTTTATATTTGTGGGTGAGAGGCTGGCCAGGTGTGCTGTGAATCCACCTAGTCCATGTTTCCGAAGTAGCATCTCCGTTGTTTAAGCTGAAACAATAAAGATGGTGGATGGGACAAGAATTAAGACCACGGTAGCCTGGAAGGTGTGGACAATATTTTGTGTCCCACCCCCCCAATCCCTATCCCAAGGATTGGTAAACTCTTTGTAGATGAGGTCCCGTAACTCCATTCTGAGATAGCCTTAAATTTTTGGTTTACAAGCTGCCGTTTTCTGGCTGACAGCATCCAGAGCAGTGGTGGGTTGTTACCGGTTCTCCCCTGTTCTCACGAACTGGTAGCGGAAATTTTCAGTAGTTCGGAGAACCAGTAAATACCACCTCTGCCTGGCCCTGCCCCCAATCTATTCGCTGCCTCCTGAGTCTCAGCTGATCGGCTAGAAGGAAAATACAGTTTAAACTCTTGCCATGGTGCTTCAAAGGGCTGCCCTACAGCTGATCAACGATAAAAGGAAGTGAGGTGATAGACCAGTGCGCTCCAAAAACAAATGGGTAGACCGGCGCGCTCCAAAAAAAAAATAGGTAGACCAGAACGCTCCAAAAAGAAATGGGTAGATTGGTGTGCTCCAAAAAGAAATGGGTAGACCGGTACAGCTCTGCAAGCAGTTAAAAGCCTGGTAGACAAGTACCTCTGCTAAATCCTAAAGACTTGTCACATGACCATCAAACCACGCCCACAAAATAAGCCACGCCCACAGAACCGGTAGTAAAAAAAATTAGAACCCAACCCTGATCTACAGCTATGCCCCAAAAAAACAAATTTGAACTGAGTTTCGTCTGCGGTGAATATGGCTACTCAGAAGAAATGATACTGGCTCATCTTCCTTCTTGGAATGTGCCTGCCTGAAACATAATCACCCCGGGAAAGGGGGAAGAAAAAGAAAAGGAAAAACGAAAAGAAAAATATAAAATCACCTCGAATATGAAATGCAGTTCCTCTATGAAAGGCAGATGTGAACCCATTCTGGCTGTTTAGAACAAGGCTTAACATTAGAAAAACACAGATTAATGAAGAAAACGTCACTGATAGAGATTGATTGGCAGGTGAGAATAATTACTGGCCTTCCACCTCCTTTGCTGTTGTCTTAAGCCGGTCCAAAGTTAAGAATTGTTTGTGTGTATTAGAATAGTAGAAGAATCAATTACATTCATTTGAAAGGGGGTCCCGGGGAAACCCCCCTTCATTTATTTCAGAACTGTTTTAAGACAAGGTCAAAGTTTTCCCCCGATTTTAATTGGAGGATAAAGGACAATTTTACCAAACCGGGAGGGTTGGCCAATTAATCTTGTCAGCTTGGACATTTCTCATTCTCGGAGAGGCCTAAAAATCGGAAAGAAAATACGATCGGGTGAGACATAACCACGTCCTTAATGGATGAAAAAAGAAAACACCCCATAATGAACAGAGAGAGATGCTATCTCACACTTTCTCACAATAAACAATGTTATGTTATAGGGAGGGGGGAGAAATCCCTTTAGAAAGGGAGTTAGGATGTCAATACAGGTAGTGACCGTTTGAAGCAGGGGTGAAATCCAGCAGGTTCTGGAAAACCAGTAGCGGAAATTTTGAGTAGTTTGGAGAACCGGCAAATACCACCTCTGGCTGGTCCCAGAGTGGGGTGGGAATGGAGATTTTGCAATATCCTTCCTCTGGAGTGGGGTGGGAATAGAGATTTTTTTTAACGTGCTTTCGAACTGCTAGGTTGGCAGAAGCTGGGACAGGTTAACGGGAGCTCACCCCGTTACTCGGCACTAGGGATTTGAACCGCTGAGCTGCCGACTTTTCTGATCGACAAGCTCAGCGTCTTAGCCACTGAGCCACCGCGTCCCTATACTGTATACATATATACATCCTATAATGTATATAATGTATATACATCCTATAATATAGCGTGTTTTCCCAAAAATAAGACCCCGTCTTATATTTTTTTGAACCCCAAAATAAGTGCTTGGCCTTATTTTCGGGGAGGTCTTATTATTTTGAGGCACATGGAGGAAAACAGAGGAAATGGCAGGGACTGCATTTAAATATTTTCAGGGGGGGCTTATTTTAGCACATGCGCTCAAAAGCCTGATTGGGCTTATTATCAGGGGATGTCTTATTTTCGGTATACATCCCTATAATATATAACAGAGCCATTCTCTCTGTTTTGGTAGGGAGACCATAAGCAGCTAAGGTTATCCTGAGGTCTGAAATGAATCCATGCCAAATTAAATCCTACTTATTTGCTTTTTTTTTTTTAATGTAGACCTGGTATCCTTTATTATTCCCAAGAGGACTTGCTTCATCCAAACACCCCAGCTCTTAAAAGAAACATCTTGGGAGCTGAAGACAGGTGAATTACCCTTTGATTTACTCCTATCTGCATATTCCCCTTAACGTTCCCTTCCCTCTCTCTCTCTCTCTCCCCCCCTTGCACCTCTTCTTCTGCCTTTTAATTATTAATATTTGCACATCTGCGAAAAAACCCACCCACCCCCATTAATGCAGGGACTTATGTGCACGCTGGGCGGGATCGATCAGAGCCTGAATTAGGAGAAACGGGATTCTTAATCATTCCTTTAATTGTTCCGGGGGAATCTCGCCGAAGACGGATGAAGCTGTGGCACTCATACATTCATGATGGCAATTTTACTGGTGCTCTATTCCAGCCACAGGAGAGAACTATAGAAGTCTCATCTCCTCCATAGATATTCCAGCAGTCCTCCTTGAATGTTCTGCTTTCATTAAAAAAAAAAAAAAAAGGGCGGGGGGGGAGGAAATATGTTTTTCAAGCTGGATGGCGCCCTATTTCTCTTAAACAAAGGCTGCGTTCAGAATGGAGCAAGGAAAGAGAAAGACCAGCATTCCAGGTTTAGGTAGAAATCAACGTCTATTCGAACCTAGGATCCAGAATGCCAATCGCCTGTGCAGCTTTCATCATAATGTTGAGTGAAAATGACCCTACTGTGCTTCAGATGGAACCACTGTCAGTGATTGACAGCGATTCGTTGACTTGGCTTGCTTAATCACAGTTTACGGAAACCCTCTTGTCGACCAACATCCAGAAGAGCAGAAGAGGAACCAAAAGGAAGAGCGCGAAGTGAACTAAATCGCTCTCTCCGGGACTCTGTGGCTGCTTGTCTTGTTATCCCATAGTCAACTGGATGACAGGTGGATCTCAAAGCTGAGATCCACTCAATGCATTGACTCACTTCTCAGTGCTCTCTGAGCTTGGTTGTTATCTTCAGACTTCTAGCACTGTTTTCGTCGTTGTGTTAGCTAGTTGGGTCATGAAACATCTGCAAGAAACAACCAAGCTTGCAAGAACACCATGGAACCCACTGTCATCTTCCTCCCCTTCCTCTCCTTCACTCCTTCACAAACCCCACTGCATTCCAGCACTGATGATGTTCCCTAGATGGGTCATGAAACATCTGCAAAAAAACCCAACCAAGCTCAGAGAGCACCAAGGATCCTATATTCCTCCTCTTCCTCCTCCTCTTCCTTTTCCTCCTCCTCCTCTTCTTTCTCCCTTCACTTATACTCCACGAAATCCACTCCCTTCTAGCACTGATGATGTTCCCTAGTTGGGTCATAAAACATCTGCAAGAAATCCACCAAGCTCAGAGAGCACCAAGGACCCCACAGTTCAAGCCTGAGCTACAAATATTATTTTCTATTGGTGCATGGACTTAAACTAAACACATCAGCCAGGTTGGTGAAACACACACCAGGCTAAAATGAGGTCAGTCCAATTGCTTCTGAGCATCTCAGAATAACATGGGAGACATCTCCAATTCTCAGCCAGGTGCACAGATTTTTCCTCTTTTTTTCCAGCCTACTGAAATGTCCTCCTTTCCATCATTTGATCCAGTTCACTCAAACATGGCCTTATGAACTCTTCCCACCATCCCACTCTCTCTCTCTCCCCCCTCCTTCCTCTCTGCTGTTTGTTTTCCTTGGGAACCTGGATTAAACATTGGTTTTGACTTCTCTCCCTCCTTCAAATTGTTTAAACCGTGAAATAATATTTTCATTCTTTGGGGAAGAGGACAAGGTTTGAATAAGTCACTCTATTCTCCTCCAGCAAACCAGTCTTCCTTGTTGCATCTACTATTACTTTTCCCATTGGTAGAGTCTTCTCCAATTCTTTCCCAGAAGGCTGACCAGGTTAAGGGCAGATCTTCCAGGGGGGGGGGAATCTATGTGGCCATTAAGAGTTGACACCAATTTGATATCAATCAATCGATCCATCAATCTTTGTAGAGACAAGCTGTACAATCAACAGGGAAGCTCATAAGCCTAGGAACGGTAGAAGGAAAGAGAAGAAAGAATGACCAGAAACAAGATGGATGGATTTAAGAGTGAGGATAGCACTAGCAATGGCAGTAGCGCTTAAGAGTTATATACCGCTTCACAATGCTTTATAGCCCTCTCTAAAAGCATTTTACAGAGTCAGCCTATTGCCCCCAATAATCTGGGTCCTCATTTTACCAACCTCGGAAGGATGGAAGGCTGTTTCAACCTCAAGCCCATGAGAATCAAATTCAAATTCAAATTCAAATTCAAATTCAAATCCAAATTCAAATCCTTTATTGTCATTGTACAAAATGTATACAATGAAATTGTTTTAGCCTCTACTGCTGCAGTCCATACAAGAATACAAGACAACATGAGCAATCTAAAGAATAATCCTTATACAAGTAGTTAGGGGGTTGGAAATTAGTCATACATTTCCATATGTACGTCATATTCTGTACATATGTGTATTACCTGGTGTATGATCTTATATCATGGCATATACCAGTGGTGAAATCCAATTTTTTTTTACTACTGGTACTGTGGGCATGGTGTGGCTTGGTGGGCGTGGCAGGGGAAGGATACTGTAAAATCCCCATTCCCTTCCCACTCCAGGGGAAGGATATTGCAAAATCTCCATTCCCACCCCACTCCAGAGGAAGGATACTGCAAAATCTCCATTCTCACCCCACTCCTGGGAGGAGACTGCAAAATCTCCATTCCCACCCTACTCCTGGGGAAGGATATTGCAAAATCTCCATTCCCACCCCGCTCTGGGGCCAGCTAGAGATGGTATTTGCCGGTTCTCCGAACTGCTCAAAATTTCCGCTACCGGTTCTCCAGAACCTGTCAGAACCTGCTGGATTTCACCCCTGGTAAATACATATTACACACTACACTGGCACCAGTGAAATTCATCATATTAATCTGTTTGTGGTGCTATATTGTGTTTAGGAGTCTGACAGCCCATGGGTAAAAGCTGTTTTTAAACCTGTTTGTCTGGCTGGCTACACTTCTACGTCTTCTGCCTGATGGTAAGAGTGAAAAGAGACACTGGCCAGGGTGTGAATCATCCCTAAGTATCTTCCTTACTCTGCTGAAACAGCAAGTCCTGGCGATGTTCTAACACAGTGGTGTTAGAATTCCTGGATGTGGGCAAAGTTAACCTGCCTTATTATGTTCTAACCACTGCACCACCACACCAGAATGGGAACACCACAGGAAGGCCCAAAAGATCATGGCTGCTAAGAGTTGGCACCAACTTGATATTTATCGATCGATGCATCAATCTTTGATTGATTGCTTATTTGTACCCTATGACTATCATTAAGTATTGTACCTTATGATTCTTGATGAATGTATCTTTTCTTTTATGTACACCGAGAGTGTATGCACCAAAGACAAATTCCTTGTTGGCCAATAAAAAATTCTATTCTATTCTATTCTATTCTATTCTATTCTATTCTATTCTATTCTATTCTATTCTATTCTATTCTATTCTATTCTATTCTATTCTATTCTAGACACAAGCTGTACAAATAACAGAGGAGTTTATAATCCTAGGAATGGTGGAAGGAAAGAGAAGAAGGACCAACACAAAGATGAATGGACTTAGAAGATCAAGTTAGATCCCTCTGAAGAAAAACTATCTATATGGCTGCTAAAAGTTGACAATTGCTAAAAGTTGACGTAATTATGGATTATGATGGCCCATAACCCAATCCATCATCAAAGAGGGAGGGCGGGACGGAAATGGATTCCAGGATTTTAGAGTAACTATAACAGAACAGTCTTCCCATATAGATGTGTTTGGCTTGTACCAGGGGTGAAATCCAGCAGGTTCTGGAGAATCGGTAGCAGAAATTTTGAGCCTTTCGGGGAACCGGTAGTGGAAATTTTGAGTAGTTTGCAGAACCGGCAAATGCCACCTCTGGCTGGCCCCAGAGTGTGGTGGGAATGGAGATTTTGCAGTATCCTTCCCCTGCCACGCCCACCAAGCCACACCCACAGAACCAGTAGTAAAAAAAAATTGGATTTCACCACTGGCTTGTACATCAGTATGTCATCCTATCTAATGTCTAGCTACCTATGGGATGGCTGTTTTGTTTTGTTGGCTGGCTCTGTGGGTTTCTAAATAATAATAATAATAATAAAAAGGAGGCCAAAAATGGCAGGTTTGTTTTTCTTGAAAATAACTTCACTAGACAAAAAAAAAACAAAAAAAACCTTGAGTCCCTTGCAGTAAGTGAATCTGTTATTCATTTAAGGGCTGCTTTGAAATGTTATCTTTCCAGCTTGTTTGCTGTTTCCTCTTCTTAATTTTTTTTTTTTTTTTTTTTAAGGAGACCTCATCTGCTGGGCCAGTTTTCCTTGATCAGTTTTCTTTCTTTTTTTTTTTTTGCCATATGTTCTCCATTAGCCAAAAGAAAAATTTCACACATCATAAACAGCTCTGTTCACAGACGCCACTTCTGAAAGGGCGCATGAGAAGATCCTGTGTCCTCTTGGCCTAATGTGGAACCTTCCCCCGGCATTAACATGAATGAAAACTCCTGGAAGCTTTGGAGCAATCTAAAATGTTATCTCAAGGGTTTATATGGACGGGGCAATCCCTAAAGTCCTTGAAAGGACTACATGCCGTATGCAAGATGATCTTCCTTTGTGGTCTGATGCTGTTGTTACTCGTTCAGAATAACAGAGCTGGAAGGGACTTTAGAGGTCTTCTAGTCCAACCCTCTGCTCAAGCTAGCTGTTCAGTCTCTTCTTAAAAGCCTCCAGTGATGGAGCAACCGGGTTATTTTCCTGTATCTTCCAAATCTCAAAGGATCTGTGTTGTTGTTCAGTTGCTAAGTCAGATTACTATTCTCATCGTTCCTATCACCCATCTCCTCCCACTTATGACTGTATGACTGTAACCTTGTTGCTGGTATCCTTATGATTATATTGACTGTTTCCCTATGACTATCATTAAGTGTTGTACCTTATGATGAATGTATCTTTTCTTTTATGTACACTGAGAGCGTATGCACCGAAGACAAATTCCTTGGGTGTCCAATCACACTTGGCCAATAAAGAATTCTATTCTATTCTATTCTATTCTATTCTATTCTATTCTATTCTATTCTATTCTATTCTATTCTATTCTATTCAAGCCTCCTCATCCTATCCCCTTCTCTCCCTCAGTCTTGCCCCACAGAAGCCTCTCCTCTCCTCTCCCCTTCTTTCCCTCAGGCTTGCCCCACAAAAGCCTCCTCATCCTATCCCCTTCTTTCCCTCAGGCTTGCCCCACAAAAGCCTCCTCATCCTATCCCCTTCTCTTTCTCAGTCTTGCCCCACAGAAGCCTCCTCATCCTATCCCCTTCTCTTTCTCAGTCTTGCCCCACAGAAGCCTCCTCATCCTATCTCCTTCTCTCCCTCAGGCTTGCCCCACAGAAGCCTCTCCATCCTATCCCCTTCTCTCCCTCAGGCTTGCCACACAGAAGCCCCCTCATCCTATCCCCTTCTCTCCCTCAGTCTTGCCCCACAGAAGGCTCCCCATCCTATCCCATTCTCTCCAGAGTTATTTTCAGGTTGGGAGGGATTAGCTAGAACGTCTAACTAATTAGCATCAGCGTGTGAATATAGTACTGTATATGAAATACTAATGATCTGATGGTCATTTTGAAAAATCCTTTCTTAGCGAGCACCTAGAAGCCAAGAGGAACATAGGTGCCAAATTTCAAGTTTGTAGGCTTTACGGTTCTGGAGATTTTGTGATTGCGGCGTGAGTGGTTTTCGCTTTTATTTACTATATATAGATAAGTCTCTTCTAAACTGCATCCTTGTTTTAGGAGTGAATTGGTGGGCGCCCTCTTCTTCTACTTGATGAGGATGTATAGATGCTGTAATTTTGTACAGCAGTTTGGGAAGGTCCCACAGAAGGTTTCTATAAGAGTCTTCTTTCTTCCCCTTTGATTTACTGATCCCCTTGTCCTTTTTCTCACCTTGGCAATTCCTTATATAACCTATTCTTTTGCTAAGTTATTTTACCTGAAGCCTTATTCTGGAGCTTCAACCGTTAAGCCTCACCCAACAGAACTTGGCATAGCATCCTGGCTGAGCTCAGAAATGTGGTTGCTTAACTTGATCAGCAAAAAGTTCAAGAAGTTTAAAGGTGTAGGGAGAAGCAGTTGTTTTTACTGGCATGGATGCCAGCTGCCTGGTTAAGCTGTTTAGATGATAAATAGGATTCGTGCCTCTTATTTTGCCAAAGACCTTTGTATGTTACAAGCTTGTGGTTCTACTAATATGTATCTTGGCTGTGGTTAGTTCTCTTTTTTTCCCTACAAAAATATATAAAATATACCTTTTGATTCTTTTCTCAAAGTCAATCCATCCTAAAAGTGGCAAACTAGTAAGAAGATGAAGTTGCATAAGGCAACCATAGCACAGATTTCAGCATTATCAAATTCATAACCTGCAGGTAACGTTAGAGCAGAATTCCAGTCCTCCATCATCATCATCATCAACTTTATTTAATGACCCCATAATCCCTTGTAGGGTGGAGTCTGGGCAACTGAATGGAGCTGAATAATTACTGGCCAGATGCCCTTCCTGTCACCAATGTGGAGTTATACAGCAGATATATTATCATCATGCCCAGAGGGAAAAATATCTGCCTCTACCTAGGATCGAACTCACAGCCTCCTGATTGTGAGGTGAGAGTGCCACCTCTAGGCCACCACACCACTCTCCAGTCCTCCATATAGCCCAGCAATTAAACATGAATGAAATATAACTAAGCTGGAAAATACTTAAGGTGCTGCTAGGAAGTGCTTGAAGTTGCCATGTTATCAGGATGTCCTGAGTTGGCCATTCATCACATCCCCATAGGTATCCTTCTGTTTGACGTCTAGTGTATTTTGGACGCAATGGTCCCTTTTATAATATGTTTACAGACGCAGAGTGGAATCCAGGGTGGAATAAAGAAAGGAGGTTTCTGATCAAAACTCTTACAGGTCTTAAATGGAAGAGGCAGAGATGCAGCCCTGCTGAGAAAGGATTAGCTGGCTACAGGCGTTCTAAAACATAAAATAAGACCGAAGGAACATTTGGTGTCAGCAGTAACATTTCAAGACGGTTTTGATTCAAGACATGATGAAGGACGCAGAAGGGAAGGGTGTGTGAGTAGAAACATGAGCCGTTGAGCAAGAAAGCAAAGAGATAACAAGATAGTCCTCTTGTGTTCTTCAGAATTGTTGTTAAGATGTCCAGTGTCCACCTTATGGGTCATCGTTTTATGGAGAAAGCTTTATTTGCGGTAGATAAGATAAATCCTGCAATTTGGTCTTGGATGGATTGGACAGCCACTTATCTGAAATAGGTACAGAGTCTCCTGCTTGAGGAGGGGGTTAGACTCCAAGGGCCCTTCCATCTCTGTTATTCTGTTATTCCCTGCGATTACAGTCTTGAATTTCCCAGTTCCCTGCAGATTGGGGGCTAGAGAGCAAGCAAATTAGAGAGCAATATCTTGATATTATGGAGCACCTCGGCCATTCCTTCGCAGATGATGCCCTTTTGGACCATGAAACAATCCAGCAGTTGTCTTTCCTGGCCATCCAACTGCTGATAATGCATCTCTATTTTTCTTTAAAAGTTTGAACAGCTTTGCTGCCCGTATTTTTCAGGGTTATTTTCAAGCCAGTATCAGAATCACTAGTAAAAGGAGAGATCAGGGTGGAAAAGATCTTATTTTCAAGGGATGAGGAAACATCTTCATATGATAGTGATCCCCCCCATAGGGATTATTTCTGATGAACTATACATAATCTGTTATAACAACAACAACAACAACAACAAAAACAGGCTGTGAAAACAGAGAACATTATAAAAACAACAGAAACAAAGACAGAATATAAGGAAAAAACAGCAGGATGACAGATTAAATAGATGGAAAACCAAAGCTTTGCATGGACATTTTTGCCCTCCAGGAGGCTCAAAAAAAGCCTCCGGATCCCAGGGAAGGCAAAAACGCCCCTCCCCCCCCAGTTCAGGAGGCCGATTAGGCCACGCCCACCCAGTAACTGGGCAGAGAAAGCCCACCCCTGGCCTTGAATTTGATACCCCTGGATTAGAGTGATCTACATGTGATGTAGACTCTGTCCCCTTCTGGCCAAGGTTACAGCCTGCTCCCAATATCATCTGAAAAGCAATGTCTGAAGCTCTTTATCCCTTGCAGAGAAAGAGACATGCTTGCCCAGCTGACGAGGGAAGGAAGCCACCAAGATCACAAAAACGGCTCCAGGGATTTGGCGTGTTTAGCAGAGCTGCTCCAAGTACCATATTTATGACTTCTTCTTCACTGCCCCTGAAGTTGGCAGCTTGCTAGCAAGACCTAGCCATGCCACCTTAGCGAATACGCTCAATGTTTGCTCCTGTTCTTTGCTGGTAGTCCTTTAGGTTTATCCGTATCTTAAGAAAGACGGCACAAATTTCGGGCATGGGATTGATTTAGAAAAATGGCAAAAATTATGGTTACAAAACTATAAAATGACAATGGCTACAGCATATAAGGAAAATTTGTATAAGATGTTTTACAGGTGGCATCTACCCCCGACGAGAATAGCCAGAATGTTTAAGAACAAATCGGAGAAATGTTGGAAATGTCATCAGACCCCAGGATCATACTACCATATGTTTTTTTTTCCAACATGTGGTTGGAAAAAATGACAAAGAAACACACTGACTTTAAACCAGAGATATTTTTATTAGGGATCTTACCAGAAATATACAATAAAGAGATAAGATATTTAATTGTGAACGTCTTAACAGCAGCTAGAATTGTCTTTGCTAAAAATTGGAAAGGTGAGAAGATACCTACTGAAGATGAAATTATTAAGAAAATTATGGACTGGGCTGAAATGAATAAATTGACATTTGAAATAAGGGAACAAGAAGATAAACAATATTACTTAATTTGGGATTTGTTTTATCAATGGTTAGATAACAAAACATGGAGATTAAAAATGAAATAGGAATATGTAAAGATAACAATATATGAAATGATTTTCCTTTTTTTTTTAAATTCAGCTTTCTTTCTGTTCAATAGTGGTTAGGTGAACCTAAATACAAAACTGTTAAACGAGAGAAACTAATTAATTTGAAAATTGGGATGAGAGACTGAGCACAAAAGGATTTTAACCGACCGACATACTGTTTGTGATTGTATTTGAATGATGGAGATTTTATGTTTTGTTTTGTTTTTCTATGTTTGATATACAGTAAATAAAAAAATTATTAAAAAAGAAAAAAGAAAGACGGCATGTGCGTGCATTGATTGATATCTGAAGTTTTTTTTCCCCCAAAAGCGTTATTTGCTCTTCAATGACATCCCGCGTTGGTTCTTACGCTACAATGTCCTTGGTGGGATGTTGGATATGTGTTTTGCATCCTAAAGGCATTTGAAATGTCACCCTGCCTTTCAAAGAGCTGAAAAGAGCAGGAGCACCCGTGATGAAAACAAACGAGCCAAAATTTCTTCAAAGTTTTTAGCTGTTTATTTAAATGCGGCTTAAAGCACCCTTCGGTCATGTTTCCAGAGCGGCTGACATTCAGTAGACTACAAATTAAGGCAACGCAAAACATGCTAAATTAATTATCAAAAAAACAACAGGAACCTTTATTCCAATCAAGATTCATCTCATTGCATTGGAAAACTAGACTAATAGGAGAGGCTGAAGTTACAAAGGGTTAGTTAAGAAATAGCATTCAACAGAGGAAATAAATAAAAACAAAAGTCTAGGAAGTCTTCAGCATCTTGTGAGATGTTTCCTCCAGCAATTTTCAATAATTTTCCTTCCTTCCCTCCCTCCCTCCCTCCCTCCCTCCTTTCTTCCTTCTCCCCATCCATTCATCCCATCCCATCCATCCATCCATCCATCCATCCCATCCATCCATCCCTATCTCCATCCCTATCTCCATCCCTTCCTCCCTCCATCCTCTATTCTATTCTATTCTATTCTATTCTATTCTATTCTATTCTATTCCATTCCATTCCATTCCATTCCATTCCATTCCATTCCTCTATTCTGTTCTATTCTATTCTATT